GTTTTAAGCAATGGTACATCTTTGTGCCTCCTGAGGTAACCACTTCAAAGTCCTTTGAGTAAATAAGTTCTGCTATATGTTAAAATGCCAACTTAGTTCTAACCAATGTGTCTTGGAAGAGCAGCAAACATGATCTGTCATAGGAGACCAGTGGCTTAAAACTGGCTTGAGCCATTAAGACATTTTAAATAATTCCAAGAAAAGTCTTTCTTTATTCAGATGTCAAGCATTACTGTTCAAAAGTCAAGGTCTTCATGATCACTCTCATTTAATGTTAATTGAGAAGCACCACACTCAAGTGCAAAATACAGAGGCTTTTGTATCAAGGAAACAAAATAGATTTTCTAGTTTATTTCTCCTTAATTGTGTGCTTTTAAAATAGATGATTAGATTTTTTCCAAGAAAGTTGCTATAGAAGCATCTTGTTTACCATGGGTTTGAAGAAAAAAAAGAGAACCTCATTCTGCCATGAGTTAAGTTGGTCTTGGTGTGTGACAACTTGTGTATATGTCAGAGAAAGTTTCTGGGAAAAGGCAGATTTGGAACTGATAGTGGAAAAGGTAAAGAAAGACAAGAAGGCATAAATCTGGCCAATATGAAGTAGATATAATCCTAGTAAAAGGGACCATTTATTTAAAAGAAGAAAGAAGTAATAATGGGTAGAGAGAATGAGAACAGTTTAGCCTGGCCAGACTATAAATTGAAATAGGCATAAGTAGAAGACGCTTTAAGCTTATGGGGAGATCATGAAATGCAATAGGTAAAGAAAGACAAGAAGGCATAAATCTGGCCAATATGAAGTAGATATAATCCTAGTAAAAGGGACCATTTATTTAAAAGAAGAAAGAAGTAATAATGGGTAGAGAGAATGAGAACAGTTTAGCCTGGCCAGACTATAAATTGAAATAGGCATAAGTAGAAGACGCTTTAAGCTTATGGGGAGATCATGAAATGCAATATAGAAATAAATCATCAAGATGAAGGATATAGTAACTCTACCTGGTTAAGTATTTTATTAAAACCATTCTTTAACTGAGCTTATCAACCATTTACACCAGGAAGTATTTTATAATGCTTTTCATCAATACTGTTTCTTTTGGATAAATATGTATGGTGTCAGATGGGTACTAGATTTGTTGGGGCGATCCCTTCATAAGTAATAATGTCTAATCACTATGTTGCACACCTGAAGAAGCTTGGGTGGGCCTGCAAGTTGGAAAGGGTGGAGTCTCAGGGAATCACCTGGGCAGGGCAACCTGTGTTAGCTGGGTTGGTGGAGACTCAGATATGGCGACTGGCTCAGTCTCTATGTTGGGAAGGGGGAGGGTTCAACAAAGAAACAATGGATTCTGTCAGCACTTCTGTCTGGGAGAAAGCTGCCCCTTCAGCCCTCACACTGAAGCCAGACAATTCAGTTCCTCTCCATATGTCTCTGGCACTTTTCAAAGAGCTGCCCCAGAGCTGGAGCTCAGAGAGAGTAAGTCTATCAGAGGTAAGTTTGCATGCGGGCCCTTTAAGAGAAATGTCCATGACTCCCACAGCCCTCTGTCTCACTCATCCACAATCTCCTCTGGTTTTCATAGTTGTGGGGACTTCTCTTTCTGGTACTGGAACTGTGGACTGGAGAACTTGGTCTGGGGTTGGGACCTCTCGCTCCCCGGACGGGGGCTGGGGGACCTCTGCAGCAGAGATAGCCCTCCTGATTCTCAACTACCACATGCAGTTGCAGGACCAGCCCGTTTTGTGTCTATGCACCTCCTATCAATCTTGAGGTGGCCTCTCATACATGTCCCTAGTTGTAGGACTTCTGTTCAGCCAGACCTCAGGCAAGTCCCAGCGATGGTTGTTCTGTAGTTTAGTTGTAATTTTGATGTGGTTGTGAGAGGAGCCAAGCACAATGTCTGCCTACTACACCATCTTGACTGGAAGGTCAGTTTTATCTATTCTTTAACCCTTTTCCTATTTAGAAAAAAATGCAGCTTGATGCGAGCATTAATTTAACATCATGCATAGGAATGCTATGTTTTCTAGGACTGAAAATTTTCAGCAATCAAGAATTACTATATTTCGTAAATGGCAATACTTACTAAAACCAGAATGCTATAAATAGAATGATATATTTGTTTCCAAAGACTATTGATATACTAGAGCAATGCAAAAATAATAATTAAAGTGAGATATTTCATGGCAAACTTTGAGGATAAGGTTAGGACTGTAATCTGCAAGTTATCTTAGGGTAAATGCTGCAGCCGCAAGTGCCTCAAGCGAGTATTCTTGGGGCAAACAGGCAATGGGTTAAAGTGGTTCCTCATGAATCTCAACTTAGAAGATTATTGAGAGTTTTTAGGTTTATGAATTGCTCCATAAGCTCTAAAGGAATGAAACTGTATTTTCACTAAAATATTCCATAATTTTATAAAATTATAAATTCCTAGATTAATTTCTCCTGATTAATTTCTCCTGGTGCATGCTATGCCTTCCCCTGCTGCCCAGAGGATAATCCCCTGCCCACAGCTTCTCTCTGAGGAAGCAGACATATGTGACCAAGTCTGAACCACAAGACTAATCTAGGCACAGCTGAATGGACCAATGATGGATACGGGACCTTAGGGTAAACAATCCACAGGCTAATTGTAAATTAAGAGGAGGACCGATGCAAAATTGCTCCCAATCAGAGACAGTGATGAATAGCTGGACCAATCAGACCCCTTCTCAGGAATTATGACATACAGATAGAGAGAATCAGTCAGCTGGTGGTGGGTGGATACGAGAAAATACCGTAAAAGAAAATTGAGACAGTGAGGAAAGTGTCAAAGTGGCTAAGGGAGATTGTGGGGCCAGAGAAGGGGATCATAAGCTATTCCCAATGCCTGACAGTCTTCTATCTCCGTGAAGCTGGATGAGTGGCTATACTGGGTTCCCAGAGAGAGTTTTATCTCTCTGCTGCCATGCATAACCTTGCAATACTTCATTCCTGAAACAGCCTGAATGAAACACTTGCACCCTTACAATCCCCCAAATCAAACTAATACATAGTCCAAAATTTGGTAAAATTGTGCTATACACTTCAGAGGCACTTTGGTACAAAAAGTTTTGATTTTACCTTTACCAGTTTTAGGAAAAACATTTTGGGAAACAATATTAGCCATCATATATGGCTTCAGTGGGCTTATTAAAATTTGTCAGCCAACTCAACAGAAATCTCTTCTGCCTGCAAAACAAAACAAAACAAAATTATGTTGAAGATGTCATTGTCATCATTTTGGGGATTAAAAACTAGGAGGATCAGTGATGATAGTTTTCTTTCAGAGCAGATGTGAGGTTACATGGCTTGCTGTCCTCTCAAATTAGGTTTGTTAAGTAGTATACCACCTAATCGATAGGTCAGTCTTAATGTTTAAACATCTCAATTTTTTATTACCAATAAGGCAGAAGGTCAAACTCTTTGGTCATTTACTTAGACACTGGTTTAAGAGAAGAACTGGTTTAATGAGAACATTGCTCAGGGCACAGATTTCAAAAAGGAGCAGTTAATTTGAGTGTAGCAGAAAAATATGTGAAAACAAAACATTATATAGAAGGTGAGCACTTGAATAGCAGCTGGAGACCTGGATTCTAGTTTGTTCTGTCACTAATAAGCCGTGTTATCCTGGGCAAGTCCCTTTCCTCTTCTGTAAAAGTAGGGAGCTGTGTTGCTGAAATTCTCCGCATTGTGTTATCTCCCCCACAAAGAATTTAAGTTCTACCCAAGCAGCGTTGTCTGCCTTGTCTGCCTAGGGCTGAGTCTGAGAACAGCTCCTGGTACCTGGCAGAGGCTCAAGAGATACTCTATATTGAACAATACATGCTATATATTGGTCATTAAAAAGGCTTGTTTTCATGTATGGAGTCTTAGCTGTTTTTCAAAGTGCTTTCAAATAGCAGGTGCTCAACAACCACTGGTTGGGAATATCACATTTCATTCTTAGCAGGGGTGCATGCCTAACTTGTTAATACAGAAATACAAGCATGGAGAAGCCTCCTGGAGTGAGAAGAGGAGTCATCTTCGAGTTGGAAGCCCTGGCCCACCACAAACTGCTGTGTGACTTTGGCAAGTCATTCCATTTCTCCAAGGTTCTTTTTTCAGAAGGGACCTTGGGAGCCCTTCTGGAAGCACACCTCTGACTCTGGTCCTGTTATACCTGTTACATGTAACAAATAGGTATTAAGGACAGATAAATTAATGGGGAGGGATGTGGAGCAGCATGAGGAATGAAGGCAAAGTAATTACCGCAGAGGCATTGGTTCATTAGAAACGTCGAGACAGTCAGACTCTACTCTTTATGTGCACCATCTAAAATCCTTTATGAGCATCAACTGAGGTGGCTCTTCCTTTGCTGTTATTGGTTCCTCAAAGCAGGTCACCGACCTCAGCCACATCTGCTGTCATACTCGCCATCATGGGGTGCAAACATCATGGGATGCAAACATCATGTGAGAAATCCTGCCAGCTTACAAGTCCATGAAATGTTTATTTTAAATGCCCAATTGTGAAGATCTTGAGAATTCTACTTTAACTTTTTTTGCAAATGCTGGGTCACTCATATTTGGAAACCATTTATGAAAAATGACTAGAAGAGTAATCCAATAGAGTTGCTACCGACCTCTAGACTATGTCATATTAGCATGACCCTAATTTCTTCAGACCAAGGTCTTTTGGCTCCATTAGTAAGAGGCTGCAATTTGTTCTAGCGTTGCTAAGGGAGGGAATATTTCAGTTATATGAAGAAATAGACACGTAGTCAAGGTAGGGTAGCCAGCAAGATTGTAATCACACTTGAAAAGGCAGTCTTCTAATGAAGGATCCAGATGAATGGAAAGTACCAGGAAGAAGAAAAGGAAGAATGAGCCAATATTTTGTTGGCAGCGTGACTCTGTGAGCTCCCCAGTGGCCCATCGGGGCTACATTAGGATGATCTTCTGGGTTTTCACTACTTGTGTTTCCTGTGGACTTTCTGATTCTGCCTCTTGCTGGGGGCCTAGCATACCCCATGGGATGAAATACTCTCGTGTGGGATCAACAGTCTGAAAAGGGAGAAATGCCATCATGAACTTTCCAAGCCAATACAGGAGATATTATCCCCCAGAACTGTGTTTGAAATATTACTATTTCACCATCATTTAACCCTTTGTTAATTAAAAAAGGAAAAGAAAAAAATTGAGCCTATACATATCAGAACTTCTTTACCATCTTTCCTCCTAGCCATTAATAAGAATCTTTTTGCCAGATTCTTGAGTAGCTGATCATTGGAAATTGAAAGTAATCCAAGAAATTCTTGGAAGGGATAATAAAGATTTTCCCATTGTGTAAATATCCTCCAGAGAGTTAATTACAGCAAATGACACAGCTATGTCCTGGTCTGTGTGTCGTTCCAGGAAAAGAGAAATTCTCAGATAATAGTCCAGAGGGATTAGCCTAGTTAGAGTTTGCCTATTGCAGTACAAGAACAGTCTGAGCATGACTTTCACTCTTGGATTTTAGTTACTTCTGATCCTCATAATACAAGAATTGTGTCCCATTGTGGTATTTTTGGCTGTCTGGATTTGTGTGTCTTTAAGGCACTGTGGCACAAAGGCACATTACCTTCAGTTCTACTCAGAAGTGCTCCTGTTTTTGCATGGCAGGATTAAAATTGGCACACCCATCTGGGCATCCAGATAATGTAACAGACCTAGCCCAGCACTTGGGGCAGCCTGGGCAGCTGGAGCTAGACAGTGACTCAGAGGCAGCCAATGTAGCTCAGGGTATACATTTAAACAACCAATACTAAAAACAGTTCCAACACTCATACATATTTACAATCCCCCATTGTGCCCAAGGCAAAAAGTGGTGAGCTTGTTCCTCTTCATCCTTAAACAAACCCTTGAAGATGCCTTCTCTTTCCACTCCCCTGCATCAGAATGTATTGTTGATGGCAGTGGCACTGGAGTTGGGAGGGGCTCGGGTGGAGGCAAAAGGCATGACTTGCCTTTACTGCACTGCCCTGGTGTGGTTTAATCTGGAGCTTAATGGCTCAAGCTCCAGCTGCCTGTAGGGATGACTCTGCCCTGCCTCTCCTCTCAGGTCATTAAAAGCCATTGGAGATGAAGCCTGACTGCTCTCCTGAGGAAGGAGTGCTTGCTTTGGCCCTCCTTAGTAAACATAGATGAGCACATTTACCTGCAGCTGAATATGGAGTTAATGCTATATCTTCCTCAGCTCCATCTCTGTCTCGGGCTGAAAGCCAAAGGAGGGAAGGGCTGGGTTAGTGTCAGAGATCCACCTGGGAGCAGCACATGAGGACTATAAAAAGACTCCATGGCTTGCAAAGAGGCTCTTGACCCTTTAAAAAGGCATTCTCTGTTGAGGCTGTTCTAAAAAAAAAAAAAATCTATGGTTTAAAAAAGAGTGTTTTTAAAGCTTATGAGGAAGGTTGTGTATGGATAGCGTTGCATGTTCAGAAGCTCATCTGTGTTTAGTAATTGAAGAGGCTGAAGATTCATCATATCACTCTCTAGAGAAAGAGCACTGGCACTGGGTCAGACAGAGCCTTTGCTTTCTCAGAATTACCGCATGACTATGGGCATCTCACTGTCTTCAACAGCAAAATAAAAGGCCTTAACTAGATCATCTCTAAGGTTCCTTTAGGCTTGATGGTCCACAAATTTTGATTTGATATAAAACGCTGGGCATAATATGGAAAAATCCTTAAAGACAATTTTAAGCTTTCATGGAATATCACACATGTGGTTCTTTGTTTAATGCCTGTCTCTGCAACAGGACTAAGCTCTATGAAGACGGGAGCTGTATTTGTTTCTAAGGCCAAGTCCTCGCTCAATACATATATGTTGTTTGGTGGCCACAGATATAGATGTGACACTAGTGTTCACATTTTGTGGCTCTAGCATTGGAGCAGGACGGCTCTGCTCTCACACTGGTTGGCTGTGTTTCTAGGGCTGTGTTACCAGTTCCTTAAAGCTTTTGTTGCTTTTGTTTCCTGATGCGAATAAAAGGGATCATGATAATCATAACGATAAATCTATTTCATAAGGTTGTTTTGAAGATTAAATCAATTAATATATATAAGTTCCTTGAAATAGGTAGGGCATGATATATAGAAAACGCCATACTGCTATCCTTTGTATATTATTATCTGTGGAGGTGCTGGTGGTATAGTTATAATTGATGTGCTGATATCTTCCTCCTACTGGTATTTTTTAAAGGGGTTGGAGCCTGTGAAATATAAAGTGCTCTTCTTTTCAACATTCATCCAACATTCTCAGGAGATCAGATCATAAATTAGAGAAGCCTTATTCTCCAGCTTTAGTTATTATTCATGAATTTACCAAAAGGCTGAGTGTTCCTCTCCCTTATGGTATGCAATCTGAGTTGAGTAAGAACTTACAGTTATATGTGGAGGAGGCAAGGACATGATAACCATCATTTAAAAACCAGGAGCCTGAGCTGCTAGAGGCGGTGGAGCTTGCTTTGGCCTCCAAGTTGCTAAGAAACTGAGCCCCAAAGCCAGGGTGTATGGGGCCAGATCCTGCACTCTTTCTAAGGCCCCATGCCTTCCAGTTATCTCTTGTTCCCTGAATCTTTGTGAATGTCATTATCCTTGCCTTATCTGTCCTCAGACCAAACAAGTCCTGCCCAGATTCACTGTCTTCTCCTCTGTTTTATATCAGTTCTCTGTGACATGTAGCTCTTGAGGGTGACAACAGAGTGGTTTTGCAATTCATTCCCATGAAAGAGCAAAACTCACAACCCCTGACACCATTCAATTTGAGTTTCTTGTAGTAAGGTGGGTACCTTGAAGAAAAAAATGTTGAGAATTGTTAAAAAGGGCTATGTCCAGCAAAAGTTGGTATTTGCTATAATGAAAACTACCTGAAGGTCTTACATTTGCAGAAACATTTTTCTCTTGGTTCAAAGCATTTTACAGTCATTGACCCATTTTTGTATTACACAGACTCATTATTTTTGTCTTAATATCTTCAAATAGAATCATACCAGGTGTGTCTGTACACATTCAAACACTAGACAGAAAAATGCACCCCCCACATCTTTCTTCTAGCAAACTTTATATAGCAATATTTGAATTAGTCTAAAACAGATAAAGCAGACAATAATTAGAACAGCTTTCCAGTTATAAGAAAAAAAGATTTATGGCTGATAGTCTATTATATTTAAGATCTCTGCAAATTATATCATATTTAAAATTCTCAGTTAAAAGAGCAACTAATTTTAAAAGGACAATCAATATATAGCTTTTTAGAAACACCTTTATATCATAGGGCACAGAATATTTATACCCAATCATTAGATGTCCTGTAGTAACATGCCTGATTGAATTTTCATTCTCCATCCAGATGTTTGTATATCTTGGAGTTAAGTCCTTAAGTCACTTCAGAGAGATAAAGCCTAATCCTCTTTTGAAAGACTCTTAGGGAAATGGAGTCCTTAATCTCCTTTGCTGATTTGTTTTAGTGTTTACCAACTCTTATTTTCATATTTAATCTAAATCCCTCATGCTTTAATTTGAGCCCATTTCTGAGAATTGTCTTCAGTTGGAGAACAGAAACTAACAGGACAACAGCCTCTTGGAGAGAGGTCTTTATATATTAGTGAAATTCCTTGCTAATCTTCTGGTTTTACTTCTCTTTCAGTTAAATAATTCTGTTGCCCCAGCAGTAAGTCAAATAATTATGTGACTGGAGACACAGCTACAAACAGTATTAATCATAAGAGTCACATGACAAATGCATGTCTCAGGAACTCAAACAAAATATCATTTTTTAATACAGAATTCAGAGAGCAAGAACTTCAATAGTCTATGAGAAAGGCACATTAAGAACTACCATCTCAGTCTACAGCCATGCCACCCTGAACGTGCCTGATCTCATCTGATCTCCGAAGCTAAACATGGTCGGGCCTGGTTAGTACTTGGATGGGAGACCACCTAGGAATATAGGCATTAAATCAGGTGCTATAGGCATTAAAAGAACTACTATCTCAGCTTCATTGCCTTAACTTTTCCACATTGGTCTGATGCTATAACCCTTTTATCATCTTTGTGGTTTCCCACTGAAACCTCTCCAAGTTCCCCACACATCAGTGGATCCCAGAACTGTGAGGGATATTCTTGTTAGAGAATGATAATGGCCTGCTTGTTCTTGCTGACCACATGTCTGTTTATACAGTATGGTGATTGTTTCTTGAGCAAATAAAAACAAAGACAGTGGTAAGCTGCTTTCTCACTGTCAGCTCACGACCTACAACGCACTTAGGATTTTTCAAGTAATCGTTATTATACTGTACTGGCCTGGCTCTTATCTATTTTGTGTCTGTATGTTTTTCCTAGCTAGATATAGTCCTGTACTTTTTACTATTTTAATCATTCTTCTAATATTTGAGATTTGTACTTTTTTCAGGTGACCTTAATTCAGATTCCATTCTCTAAGCTTAAGTTTCTGGTTATTAGGCCCAGTTTTGGAGCACGATCTATGTATTCTTTACTACACTATTGATTCCTGTCCCCTGCCTCTCCCCCCACCCCCTATATCAAACTACATTGACAATGACTATTACTGGGCAGGCTATTTCCTGCTCAGAAATAGATTTTCTAATCATGCTTAAGTAATAGGAATAGTACCAGGAAACACTGCTTTTGTGAACACTTGCTCTTCTATTAAGACACAACTTAGAACACTTAAAATACCTGCCTAATATTTTTTTGGCTTTGAATATTGATCATTACAAATCTCAGTGTGTTTTGCATTATTAAGAAACTAATAACTTTTTCTGTCTTCTTTCTTTCTGATTTTTGTTTCCTGGAAACATAAAATAACAATAAAACAAACATGGAAAGTTTTATCCTATCTGAGAAATAGTTTCAGGAAGGATTGACTCTACAAATCTGCTACAAACTTCAGTGATCTGATTACACATTATCAACAAGCAACTGTTATAAGAAGGATACATAGTGTTGATTTCCGATTCTCTGTCAACTGAACTGAAAAGAGTTAATGGATGCATCTATCTGAACAGGATTTAATTTGAATGTGTAATTAGTCATAGATTATAGCTCAAAAAAATTGTATGCACTTAAAAGGAAAGCTTCTGTGAATTTTTTGAGCCTTGGGAAGATTGTGTGTGCTATACAATATATAAAATAACATCATTTTTGCACATTAGAAATAAATTGTGAGTAATCAGATGCCTATTAAGACACAAGAATTGAAGTAACACTATATTTGGTTATAAATAATAGGTCAAATGTTTCAGAATGGAAATAATGAGTTTTGACATATTTCCAGATGACTGAAATTAGCCACTATTTTCCTCAGGTTGTTAGTGTCCAAGCTTCCTTAGTGTTATAGATGATATATATTTTTTTCTTTAACAAAGTATAGTCGGGTGGCTCGGTATTACTTTATATAAAGATAAAAATATGACCTAGAAATTATGAAAATGTCACATAAGCGAGTTGTACATCTGTGCCTTCACTCAGGATTCTGCTTTAATGACACTTCATGGCACTTTTTGTAAACCTTGAAGAGTTTCAAGCAGTGAATAGTTTGAAAAGTAGAAATTCAGAAGTTATTGGGCTTTGTGACTTTAACGAGGTGATGAATCCTACAAATCAGTTTATTATGATGTTTGAGCAAATTAGCTTTGAGACTTAAATTTTAAAATGTCAATCACTGCTGCCAGGATTGACTTGTGTACTTGACAGCCCAAATATCTGGACTTAGCATTATATGTCATGCAATTGCATGGCCCAAGCCTAATTTGAGACTGGTTAACTCATTTTATAGTGGGAGCCTTTCTTTACCCAGCGTGAGCATTCAGAGCCTCACCCACCTTACTTAAGGTCTTTGATTTATTTCTGTCTTGGTCTTGTTCCATCAATATTTGTATTTTGGAAGAACCGATTTTTCATAAAAGTTTAACCTTGATTCTGGGTGTCTTCATCTCCACGCATGAACTATTTAGTCATACACTAAATTCTGACCATTCCTTTTTGTTCCCTTTTGGTTCATCCTGTTGCCCGATTTCTCTCTTGTTTCTCCCACAGAAGAGCCTCCCTGCTCCCTGAATCCCCTGGGAAAGTACCTCTTGAGCATTCCTGGTTCTCCACTCTGAAGGTGCATTGGTAGCCTGGCACCGAGCCGGTGTTGTCTTGTGAAGGGCACTCCTGTTTACACGATTTGTAGAGAATGCAGAGCTCAGGTATGATGTACAGCAGCAGGAAAACCCATGCATTGGTGACCAGGGCAATGCAGATGACAGGGTCATCCCACTGCGGCTGATGCTGGAGCTGTGGGTTGCCTTTCAAGAGCATAGAGATCCACGCCACCCAGATAATGATGGAGATGAGCATGGTGACAAAGATGAGCCTTCCATGCTGTTTCCAGTTCTCACACGGGCCACATAAGGTGGTTTTGGAGACGAAGAATGTGAGGATCATCAGGAAAAAAACGTAGACCAGGAGTACGACAAAGTCCACATTGAGCTGACAGGGTGTCATATGTACAAACATCATACCTCTGGTCATCATGAGAGTCACATACTCAATGGCAATGATCGTCTGCAACAGGCTGAAACCAATAGCAATGCACAGAACTTTTGTCCAAGAGAAGGAGACTCTATCTCGGACGAGCTTCACCAGGTTGCAGGCATGAGCCAAGAGGCATGAGAAACAGAGAGCAAAGAGAACCCCAAAGAAAAAGTAACGTACAGGGGCAGTTTGCTGATTGAGCTGGATAATGAAGGCAAAAGCAAGGCCAAAGAGCCCCAGCACACTCAGGAGGAAGAGGAACTGGGTGGGGAGGACATTCCACACGCCACAGTCTCGAACCTTTCGCATGAGGAAGAGAAATGCCAAGAGCAGAATAATTGTAACCACTATGCCAATTATTGCCAGGCACTCCAGGACAATGCCCCATGGCCCCTCTGTGTCACAGAGGAAATAATAGTCCCCAGTGGACTCGACACAGTCCTCATACATGATGACTGTAGGTGGACCTCACGAGAATGGACTTCTGTTCCCCTGCAGGAAAAAGATGTGACAAATGTATGACTTTACATCTATTCTCAAGAATGCCCGTCAGGGTATTTGCAGGGCACTATAATACCTCTCAGTTCTAAACGGAGACACCTGGACAAACTGAACAAAATAGCTCAAAGCTATCCAACCCTCAAAACTATCCTAGCTCCTTCCTGTTGGAAAAAGCAGAATAGTCTCTGCTTGGGGGCTCCAAATAATTCATCCATTTCCATGTCACAATTTCCGCCAAGGCTTTTTGAAGCCTAATGCAGAATCTCTTTTCATAAAATGGGGGTGTGAAACGAGGTTTGCGAGATTGATGAGATTCCAGTTATATCAGGCTCCAGAACAAGGGCTGTCAACATTAATGGATCGTTAAATCATTTAAGACACTGATGCACTGCTTCAAGTAGACAGGCAGGCGATTTTCCCCAGTAATTCTAATGACTGTTCTTTCTTTTAATTCAAGTCAATTCAGTGCAACATGTTACTGTAAAATACCTACTAATTGTTCATCAAAGAGTTATACAAAACAGTCCCTGCCTTTTAAATAACTTTTCGGACAGTTTCACACCAAAATCTATGTCTAGGGGTTGCCTAGGAAAAAATTCCACATATTCATTTGGAAAAAAGTACCTTGCAATGGCATACTCCTAGCTCTATTCCTCTTCAGTTATTTCCAAGCCAGATGAATGGAGTGACCCAGGTTTATACCTGAGGGCATGGCCCCTTCATCTTAACTTACCTTCCCTGTGTCCACTCTGGAAGCTGAGGCTGTGGTGGCTGTGAGGTTGTAACTGCCAATGAGTAAGAAGGAGACAATCTCAGCTTCTTTATTCTCTCCTCGAATGGGCGGAAGGACTGGAGGCCCTCACTCAGATTCCCGCAGTGCCTATAAAAAGAACCGGAAGGTCAGAAAGACACACCTATTCCAGTTTCACAGCAACTTTTCTACAGAGATTTCTTTGGTGAGGACAATTATTTTCCATTCTACTGCTACCTAGAGGCACCTTGGCCTTAGGGAGGTCCGAAGGGGGTGTGCATTTAGGAGAGACTGTTTCGTCCCTTTATACTCCAACATGTTCTGGAAGCTGTGAGAGGTCCCCAGTTGGCTTTACGTAAGGACGTTTCATTCTGCTTTTGCCTCACCCTCCTAAAAAGCCATGTCCAGAGTTTTTCCAACATTTTGATTTTAATCATAAGATCCAAAGGAGCACCCATTCAACAAAGGAGTAAGACTTTTACTGGGCCATAAAGAAGGGTATGTACATTAAAAGAGCCAGTGGTTGGCAAAATTGTGAATTAGAAGAAATTTGTCTTCCGTACTCTACGACTCTCTTTTCCTCTCTTTTGGAAGCCTTTCTTCAGGCCTTGGATGTCCATCAAGTATGGGCTTTGGTGTCATTATCCTCTGTCCTTCTTCTCCTCATCCCCATCAGAATGAACTTGTCTGGGTCTCATTCCATTGGGTCATTCTTTGGGCCCAAGATAGAACACAGAATTGAAAGTTACTAGCTGACAGTGATATAGCATATTCCTTTTCTCCTGTGAGATATAATAGAGCACACAATTCCGTGTCCTCCCTATACTGACTGTGGGTCTCGCCCTACCCTTACATGCCTTCCCCTCCGCCCCCCAAATTACTCTTTGATTCTTTTTGTGGATATTGCATTTTAACAGAGGACATCTGAAGACTCCAAATTGGTACCTGTTAGTCTGGTTTCAAGTCACTTTGCGACCTGATTCTATTTTTCTTATCCATCCGTATTTCTTTCAGCTCTCCTGGCCCTGAGGTTTATCTGGGTTGGTTTTCCCACTGCCTCACAAGGAAACAAGCTCCTGTCTGCTTGCCTTCTCTTAGGTGTTGTTCCTGACCTAAACTGCATTTGCTTTATTCCTATTTATCCTTTGCACTTTATTCTCATTGATCCTGTTTCCTACCCAAGTGCTTTCCTTGCCTCTGAGATCCAGCTCATCTTATCTCCTCTATAAGCTTTCTCGCTTTCTCCGATCACTTGAGCCCTTGTTCATCAACTCTCACAATGAACTCAACAACACGAGGGTCCATGCTGTTCAAAATTACGGAAACCATATTTTCTGCCTATATTATTTGCATTAATTTATTAATAAGTAAAATAATAAGCAATTTTAAAAATAATAAGTCTCATCCCCTTGATTAGATTTACAGCTGCTTGGGGGTCAGGTTCCACATTTTACACCTCCCTCATAGCACGTGGCCCCGAGTGAAGCACCTCCTAAGTGGTGGACGGAATGTTTAATTGAAGGACTCTGATGATTGAATTCTGGGCCTTGTGAAGGTTCTTTGCAGCAGTGTGGTTTACCAACAGATGCAAGTAAACCATCTGCAAGTAAGTCAGGACCTTAACAAACCCCAGACAAAGTCATTCTGTCATGGGGTTCTATCTTTAGGATGCCCTGACTTTAAAAAGCCATTCCTTTTCCTTTGAGAAAAGAATATTCTAGGGAGAAGAGTCCTCTCTTTGCTTACTTTAGGGTAATTGAGGTCACACTGAAGCTGCTAAAGCAAATCTAAAGTTTACATTGAAAGATAAAGGGATTTTCTAGATGATGAAATGTGACATTCATGAGAATTCACTCAAAAAGCCCAGTGAGTGGTTAAATTGCTGTCAGTAGAACGACAGAGGATTTCCCATTTAATTCTTCCAAGGGAATTATTTTGGTGACCCCTTCCGTCCTGCCCCTCCCCCGCCTTCCAGCTTGTTAGTCATGGTCATTCCTCCCTGTTGACATTCCGCTGATCTTGTCTTTTTAGGAGAGTCCTCTTGACCCCAGATGGCTCTGAGGCAGGCGAATTAATGGGTTAATGACTACAAAGCCCTTTGAGCAACTTAGATAAAAGAACTTGTCTCAGGTACTAATTATTGTTATTTAAAAATCTGGGGTTATGGAATTAACCCATCTGCTGCCAGGCCTACACTCATCTGCCTCACTCACACCTCATTCCTTTGGCTTTTATGTGGCAACAGCATCACACCAAACAGTTCAGATATGACTTTGATGAATCAAAGTATATTGATTACCGAGTCCATTAAAAATGGAGATAAAACAGTCAATAGGTCAAATGCCCTTTTTTGAAACATCCATTTGTGTTATTTCTTTCTTTCAGAAACAGAGCTGGAGGAAATGTGAGAGGTCACCTAGTCTAACCCTTCCATTAATGATTAATAATAAGGAAGCTAACACTGTTAACATGAGGAATTAAGTAGTAAGGACGCAGAGGCCCAAAGAGATGGAGGAATGGCTATACCTAAGGTATGGAGTGGTAGAGGAGACAGCCAGGGTTGTCTGACTCCTGGCCACATCATTGCTGCCATACCAGGCGACCTTTCGTGATACGTCCCATCTCAGGAGGACAGGCCCCAAAAGAGAGAAGCCCTTAGAGATGACATGTGGGTCGTGATCAGAAAAAAAAAAAAAAAAAAAAAGTATGAGAGTACATCAGATATTCTTCATTCTGCAGCAAATCCTGCAGCTGCCATGCCTGGCCGTGTGAGAGGGTTGTGTTGGCAGGAATAGATCATTTGTTCTCTTGCTCACTGGCATTTCTGAGGCTGCCTTCGTGGGGGTGCAATCAGTGCAGTTGTTCAGAGCTCTCCACTTGGAAGAGTTTTGTGATTGGAGTTTAATTCTCTGTGGTCACCGTCTTGAAATTCTTAATGATTTTATCTTTGAATTTGTGTTTTGTAAGTGAGGTCATGTGGGACAATGAAACATGTGTTGGAAGCTTAGAGCCTTGGCTCACATGTGATGGTGCCTCCCATTGCCTCCCTGCCTCCCGGGGACAAGCTCTCAGCCGCTTACTCCATGCCACCACATAGTGCTCTGGGTTACCCAGCCTCCCCATTTTGGCCCCTGTCCCATGACGGCTGCCACACTCCACCTGGCGTCATCTGTCTACCATGGGTTGGGTGGTGGCCCTTTGGAAAGATGGGATTGACTACCACGTCTAGGCAGGGTGCCACACTTTCATTTGTACTGGGCCTGTAAATTATGTAGCTGGCCCTGGGCACTTCATTCAATTTTTTGGTATATGATGGGTAATTCGATCAGTATTATATCAGGATATTAACATTATACAGTTGAATCGTATATTAACATAATGTACAGTTGGTTGGAAAAAACCTCTGTGTTTTATCTGGATCAGCAAATTGTCAGGACTCTCAACTGGGTGTCATTAATGAATGTTCGGGGTATTTTTTGGAAGGGAAGTTATCTGATATTTTTTCCTGTTTGTGACTATTATAACATTTTAATTGAATTAGTATACATTGCTCTTTATATTGGGCTGTTTTATCATTATTAGAAGAAAGCAAATAATGTGGAAAATATACAGGTATGTTCAAATTCAGCTGCTGGATCTGGAAGTGTAGATATGACAATATTGAGAAAAATGTTGACTAATAAAATTTTTTATTTGACTTGCATTATGAAAAGGAAAAATAGATGTAGGACCTTATAATAAATATTATATAAATGTGATTTACTAAAATATGCAAAGCTTTAAAAAATGATAGATGACATATGATTTATAATGAAACTTTTACAAATGAAAACAAAATCTTCAAAATTAAAAACAAACCTGGGGAAACAACATGATGTCAGTAAGCCCTTCATATGTTTCCAAAAATGAATACATAAATGTATCAATAATTTCTAAGTTGTCATCTACTATTAATAAAAACAACTTTGTAACATTCTATTTCCCAGTATATTAGGTACAAGAGAAGAAATGGGTCACACAGCTGCTAAGTAATCTTTTAGGTTGTATGAAATGGCACATATGATTTTGATGATAAAATGATGAATCAGTTGATAAATTTAAAATTATACCTCTTAGTATACCATAATATCAAATCTGTACTATTGCAGAACATAGAAAAGCAACTTTTAAAATTAAAGTATGATTGACGTACAATATTATATTAGTTTCTAGTGTAC